CACTTGAGAGCTGAGTTGTCGTAAGGTTCGCCAAGTAAGAAATCATCATATAATCCTGAAAATAGGAAAAGTCAAGGGATGAATCAAATAAAATCTGATTTCACTTACCCTCAAGCTGTTCTTGACAAGACTGTCCAGTTTTTCAGTCTGCATATGCGTGGCAGCCGTGTTAACAATATCCATTAATCGACGTCCCATTGTCGCATCAGTAGGAAGCTCATCGCGAGAAGTAACCTCGTTGACATACCTTCAAAATATGTTTATAAATATGCTTTTTGTACTTTGAACAAAAAACAAGTGAAATGTGTCAAAACTATGCCCTGATCGGCTCGGGGAGAGGGGGGAGGGGCATTTGAACTTTTGCTGGCTCCTTTTGCTAGTTTTTGTTCTGTAGTGGTTGAATTTCACGTTTCATCTTGGTAAGTCCTGTAGACCTTGTCAATTGTGAAGGAAGCTCCATTTACAGCGCAACTTTACAAATATTCACAGCTCTGACAAAGAGGCGTGGGTAGCGGCGATGGGAATTAGCGAAATGCCCCCACCAAGCCAAAAAGCTGGATAATATTAAAACTAAATCCTATCAAATGTTAAACCAACTCTAGCAAGCGTTCGAGCCATTCGATTATCTGCGCTATACTTCTTTCGAGTTGTTCAAGTCCACTTTCCATTGTCACCTCACGTCGTCTCGAATCCAAGGCATTCTGAATGAAACCCATGTATTCCACTGTCTAATTAACCTTAGAGTTGAGTGAGCCAGCAATTCTGGAACTCACCTCGATTAATTGCATTGCTACACATTCTCCTGGAAAAGCATCGAGTTCTACGCGAAGAGGATTGAATATTGCGCAGTGAGGATCACGTGCACGAGGGATTCCAGCCAAGGTTCTACAAATTATAAGCTCAATTCTGGCACTGCTGAAACAAAACTCAACCAACCTGAGGTAGGCCCTCATAGGCACACGATATTTGTCGTCTGCACTAGTGAATGTTGTATCAAGGGTTAACAAAATGAGAGGCGGAGACTCCTTCCGAGATACCTGATAAGAATGATCATTTTGATCAAAGTATAATTATACAGCTATTAATGCATACGAGACGATGAAATATTCGCCTTCTTCATTGAAAATCCTCGAATTTATCTCGAAAAAATATCCGAGCCTAAGTAGGTTGTGTATAAAGCGCACATGAAACGGAAAACTGAGAAAAGTTACCAAATGGGTACATTATTTATAAAGGCAAATATGACTCTCCTCCCTTACCATGTGCGATCCTCCTCGTTGGAATTTTTCAACCTACGACATACACCTGCACCAGTCAGCGGGCAGGATAGGGTGGGCGCGCTACGAAATTTACAGCCATTAAGGAGAATGCTTGAATGGGAGTTCGCGATTTGCAAGTGGATTAAGAGCATGTATTCTAATCCAGTCCCTGCCGCACTTTCTACAAAATTGTTCGGTCGTCCGATCGATATGCCAACTTCACTTTGTCACCTATTCTCCGTATTCTCAAGACTCTAAATATAAAAGCGGTCTAATTTAGCATCATACCTCATTTATGACTCTGTTGTAGTAATCATGATAGATGAGGCAATTGGAGGAAAGATCAGAAGAGGTGTAAAACCTGCAACATTTTACAAAAGGATAATAAATAACAATTAAAAGCTGTCTCCAGAACCACCCAAAACCCTTCCTCACCATCCCACAGGTTGTTCAGTAGGTGCGGCTCTCTTCAGCATTTGAATCATTTGCTGATTGAATGAATCATCTAGTTCAAGATCGTCCCTCAACTCACTGAATGGAATAGCAAAGCAGTTAGTGACCTAAAAAATATTATTCGCTACATGCAAATTTCTAACCAGGGTAAAAGCGTACCTGCACTGCATCCTTTTCATAGAATCCCATGAGTGTACCCAAGGCCTTGTCATTGGCTGGCTGCCCAGCTTTGGTAGGACGTTGACGTCGAAGATACGAGTCAACTATTGTCATGTACACCACAGGATGTACTTTCACCGTCAAATGAGACGCCATCCTAGCAAGAGAAAACTGTAGAAATAGAAGCATTTAGAGTACATTCAGCGTGAAACACCGGAGATTTACTGGAAAAGGGCAGAGGGCAGAGTTTATCCTGAATGGGGAGCAACAAGTAGCACTTACTGACGCCCGTACAGGTCACCTCATGAGGACCTGTACATTCCTGCAACCAAAGTGGCCACCTTCACCTTTTCGCAGCTTCACAAGAGTTTACAGATCTCGCCAATATGAGTCTGTTCATTAACATGAACTGCCGAAGGAAATAGCCAAAGAACAGAGTGGTCCTCCCAAGCCGAACAGCCACATAAAGAAAATAAGAATCAAGTATGGGGGGGGCATTGAACAGCACAGCAAAATACTGTGGGATAATCACCAGAATGCTGGGTTACGGTTAGTTAGTTATCGTAGCCTTACAGCACATCATAATAAAACAGCAGCGGGGCAAATTTCGCGAAATTCTGACACCTTCTCTTTCAGGTTTTTCCAAGAGTTTCGGTGTCCGAAACCGTTGTAAAAAATCCAGATAACATTGAATGATGACAGGGGACTATACTGAGGTATGAACCGATTTTACTGGCGAGGTCACGATGCCGCGCGCGATAACGCGCGCAGAAATCATTGAGCACAGCCACTACCTAGCCTTCTCACATAGTCATCTTGTTGAATAAGAATTTATTCGTTGGGGACGTAGCACCTTATTGAGTTTTGGTGGATTATATTAAAGTGTCACATCTATGAGTATCTTTTAGTCCTAGACTCTTCCTGTGCAGTAGCCTCGTGGGCATTTTCGAGGAAGGAAGCGATATCATCGACCGAAAACCTCTAATTTACATACGCATAAAGTACTCCCATGGTTTCTCCAAATTCGCGTAATTCACATACGCACAAACGCATTACGAAGTAAAAAAATAAGGGAAGCAAGTAAAATCTTAGTAAACTAATTCTTCCAAGCATAACAGTGGTCCCTCTACAGAGGTCCCCTTGAAAAAAGTTACATAAAATGTAGTAAACCATAGAGTTATGAGTGAGTATACATTCAGTACTCCCAACCCAAGGATGCTCCCACGGTTTCTCCACGCTCCATATTGTTTGGGGAGCGTGGCAAACTCCGATTTATGAAGCCGCACGCTTCGCCTCTCTCGCCGAAATCATAAAAGTCTGGCACTCGTCAAATCGCTGGTCTAGGAAGTGAGTCGAGCAGAACGGTAGTAAAAAACCACAGTAACTTTACAGGACATGTTTACCGTTCCCAAGAAGAGATACACCGTTTCCGTGTGATGGTGACCAGTCCCCCGGCAGACTTGCAGGGCTTCTCATTGTTTGCGCCCCTGACTTTCGTAACTCGAAAATTTTTGTCGAGGTTATGTCATTTGCTGTATCATGAAGAGCTCTCTTATTCCAGTCTGCTCCACAATCAACATGGACTATGGCGCAATCGCAGTATGTACACGTATTATCACATAACCGCTATCTTTTCACATATATTAACAGAATAACACATAGAGTCCGCTATCGTGGCCCTTTGTGCTTTGACCTGTTGGGGAATGGTGACGAAGGAGAAAGCCTAATCTGAAAAATCTGTAGTCCCCCGCTCGGATAAGAGGCATCTTCCACGAAGTCTCTCCTCGACATTGAATAAAACTGGGCGTAAGGTACTGTAGCCCCGCAGTGTACGCAATGGCACACAGCCGCATCTGTACGAAAGAATGGCGCCATTCTACACTATACATAAGAACAAACAAAATTTACAGACAAACGTAGGCGAGAGCGGAAATAAAGTAAGGAGAGTAAGCGTACGAGGCTGAGGTACACCCAGGGTACGCCTTCCCAGCGAGGGGAGGTCGCATTTGGTCGCTGTAGGGAGGGGGTCCCCGCTCAATCCTACAGCTTTTCACGAAAGGCTGTATTTTTAGAAAAAGCTCAAAAAATCGGTAGAAAGAGAAAGTTAGGGAAAGTTCAGGAAGATGGTAGGTATGATGAGATATGGAAAGGGATGACACATCAAAGGGAGAAATGCTCAGTGGGAGGGTCGTCTCTTCCTGAGAAATCTCCCCATAAGAAGGACAGCTGTGCTTACCCCTTATAGACAGGTGCGCTTTACTTTTCAGGAACGTGTCACATATTCAGAGCAAACTGACCAAGTTCTTTTGCGATAAAGTAGGTTGAAAACCCATGGGGAATAGAACAAGAAACCGAAGTTCTCTCATATTTATTGCAGGTATGAAAGATTATTACCGTGTACTTTTGAAGAAAGATACGTAAACCACTTTACTGGATGATGGATCAAACTAATACAGAAACAAAACCAACACTTAACCGAGTAAAATTGATCACAGTGCATTGAGTCGGACTACTATTCAGTACAGAGTAAGAGAAAGCATGGAATTAAACGGGTCACAAAAGACAAAAAAAAGACTACAGGTCGAAGAAAATACAAAATAGGAAAGGCCTTTGAAGCTGGCCACATTAAGACTACTTTCAGAAGTAGTTAAGTCTGGGTCTTCAAACCAGTTCGGAAGGAACGATGGAATGTTGTAAAGTTAGTGTCTTTTTCGCAATCCCTCACTCTCGGCTTCAGACGAAGTTTGATGTCGTTCCAGCACGATGAAGCTGCTCAGTCGGCATGGGAGGACGATCTGGACCAATTCCTGGATACGGAGGTGGGGCTTCACGCATGAATACTGTGTTTGACTGAGGACGATCCGGAAAAGCATGGGTGGGCGGTAGAAAACCATTGTGTCCTTAAATATCCAGATTATTGCGAAGAATTGAATAGCTACAATTCCACTGCCTCCCTGGAACTTACGCGACATAATTGACGGGCCAACTGTCCCTACTGCATTGTGCCGCTGAGCGTCCTTTTGAAGAAAGTATCCATGACCACAACAGCAAGGGGGTGATCACGCCCTTTCACCTCACTAACCAGGTTTTCCCCCATTTATTTTCACTACTTTTTTCAATTAATTTTCGAAGCATTGGAAGAAAAGAGATACTACACTGCGCTTCCTTATTCCTTGGAATCTCAGTCTTTTGCTAAGTAATTGCTTAGCAAGTTTCATTTATTTTTCACCTCGAATGCCTTAGTCAAACGTAACAAAACGTAAGAAAATTGAGAAGAAATATAGTACCAGTTTTTACTGTTCGAAATAGCACGGCCTACAGGAATAACAGTTCCAAGACCTAATCATACTTTTTCAAAAGGGAACCCGAAAAAATGCAGCTAATTTGTCGGCCATTTTGAATATTCTCTCTATATATTTCGGCAAAAAGCGCATAATTACTGAGCAACAGGAATCACTGGGTGTCTTTTCTTGTAGCGGAATCGGAGCTGTGCAAGAGCCTAGACAAAATGGTAGTTAACATGTATTTTGAATCCCGAAAGAATTTTGCGCTTATAGAGCAAAATAGAGCTTGTAGAGTAACTGTGGTACGATACCAATTACAAGAGTCATATCAAAAATAGTGTAAGGAATATTTCCATTTTAGGTTAATCTACTTAATTAATTCTGAAAAGTCTAATTTCGACTATGAAGGCCGCAAAAGATGCCCTATGTTTCTGCGACGAAAAGATTATCCCTTGTAGCCTTTCTTGCCTTTCTTCGAATCTAAAAACATAGGTAAAGTGAAAAAGTATTATGTGAACAAAAATTAGAAAGGCAACAACTATGCGCTGCAAGTCCTGTTCCTTCAGAGCCATGAGTGCCCCCACCCCTTCCGGTTAAAGACAGCTCCCGCGATAAAAGTCTCATGGATAGCTGCTTTCCAATTATGAAACAGCAGCTGATAAGTAATCTCCCAAAGAAGAACAGGCAAGAAGCGTCCTCCAGAACAACATAAACAAAATCGCTCCCTCACAGTCACACCTCCCTGCGGTCTCTGTGCAACCCCTAGCTCACAAATCTCTCTATCACATCTCGCAGTAGTTGATATCATCTAGTGCAAAAGAAAGAATACAAAAAGAAAACAACAAAAACGCAGAGGAAAACTCTGGGAAGGAAAAAGGAATTTTATCAACACGGTGTCTGAATTTGTGATTTACGGTAGGCCCCCCCCGCGCGCCCCGCCCCCGGGGGGGCCCCCCCGCCCCCGCGGGGGGCCCCCGCCCCCGGCGGGGCCGGCCCGGGCCGGGCCGCCCCCCCCCCCCCCCTTTTTTTTTTTTTTTTTTTGTTTAGTTGGGGGGGGGGTGCGTCGTGGTTTGGCATCACGAATGGCGCCACTCCGGTTTTTATCGCATTTCAGGCCTCGCGAAATGGTTGAATTGAATGTATATACCTCCAATGAGTAAACTGTAATAAAGGGCAGCAGAATTATCCAGGGGCATTAGCAATGCCCGCCGCCCCAAGTAAGAACAAGTGAGTGGCCTCCGTAGGAGGACATCTAGCAAGTAAAGGCGGTCCGACTGAGGAGGAGTTAGAACTAGCACTTTGAGCGCGGGGCGAATAGCATCCTTCACGCTCACCAAATAGATCGCGAAAGGTTAAGGCAGTACTAGGCTTGGAGGCTGGACATACTTGCAGCAGTAAGCTGACCACGAGCCTACTTTGATCGCCGGGGGCCCAGTCCCGGTTAAAGCCACGATTAAAGTTAAGGTGCACTTCAGAAGTGACATTTCTAACTATTTTAAAATATGAAGAAATATGAGAATTTAAAAAGAGATTAGAACGGGAAGCCCTTATAATAAAATCTAGTGACGCCGTTATTCCTGTGAGCAGGTTTGCGTATCCAAGCCGAAATCAGTGCGCAAATCATTGTTGCTCTGCTCTTCCACAACCCCAGAAGTCGCGCAACGAACCTGCAGTTGTTACTCAGGGAACAAACCTGGGGTTTACGGACAACTTGAATTCAGTGCTTTTGAATGCGGCGATCTTCTGTTTTCTCTGAACTATCATTGAACAGCATACTAACTAGGGATGGTCGCCATGTCGAAGTGGGCATAACGAGACATATATCATTTGAAGTGTGTTCGAACGCTGACTTCAGATCTGGCTTCGAATTCCCGAACTAAGTTTTCTGCTAGGATCATTAGCGTGTTTGTGAAGTAGATAGACGGGAGTCGAGCGCAGTTACCTTTTAATTTGCGTAAATAGCCGCGAAGCACAAATTCAGTCAACGGCAGCACTGTGTAATGGTCTCGATTCACAGGCGTGCATGAGGTTCTGCGTTTGCGGGGAAAGAGTTTTTTATTTTGGTATTGAATTTTGTGGGGAATTGTCTTTGTCTCTTTTGAGTTTAGAGAACACTCAAATGCCAAATGGCTGCCATATGCGTGTTCAAGGAACAAAGCTACCTCTGGGAACAGGTTTCTAGCCAGATGTGAGGTTTTGACCTAACTTTGAAAAGTGCGGTAGCAGTTGATCGAATGATGGTCACCAATAGTTCCAGGGCCAGTCTCTTGTCGATTGCTTGTCTTTGGACGGAATTTGCTTTTAGATACCAGGAAAACTGGAGCAGTAAAATGAAAACTTTCGAAATGTAGTCTTTATTTGTAGCCAAATAGGTGTGGGCATGAATTGAGCTGCACCCCCATGGATGCTTCATTTTTCGAAGTCAGGTCAAAATGCCAGATTTGGCTAGGAACTTGTGTATAAAGGTATTTGACCCGCTGAACACGAATATGACACTCGCTCAGCGCGAAAACGCCTGTATCGCGCACGACGTTCATCTGTGCACCCAAGCCTTCTTCTAGATCACAAGGCGCCCAAGCGCAGCAATAAGTGCACGCGAACATTCCTTCAGGCAACTTTAGGTGAGAACTGGAGTAATAGTGACGCCGCTCTTTGCCATGTTCGCGGATGAAGCAAAAAAGTTAAGCTTAGCAAGATCCGATCCCATAAGCTGTTGCGTGGTAGACGACGAGGAAAAGCTCCATAACTTCGTTCAGAGAATCGTTCTGCAAATTTCGAAGGCAGATTCGAGATCAGCGTCCAAAACCACGTCTAGTGAGCTACATCTCATTACAAATGGCCACTTCGACCTGACGACCTTCCCTAGTAGGGTCATTGTGACCTCACACATCCCAGCTTTCCAGAAATAATTACTGGAACACCCATTCCTCCCCTTAAAAAGTCCTATTTTGGCTCGCCACATGCTTCTTGTTTAATGTGATGCTATGGCAGCCGCTGTCCTCTGTTTGCGTTACATGACTCGCAGCAGGACTATGCACAAAAGGGTTGTCAAATAAGAAGGAGGACCCTTCACAAACTATGCCACACCTTGTCTTATCGGACCCTTCACGAACTACGCAACACTTTGTTCTTTGTTAACCAAATGAAGTAGAACGCTTACCGTCAGAGGAAGGAGCATAATAATCTGGAGGAGCAGCGTAGAAATCACCACATGGTGGAGCGTAAGCTGGAGGTGCGTTTGCGGGACGGAATCTGTCGAAAAAATAACTTTGACATACTTTATACTTCGATATCCAGTAGCAAGAGCGGGGAGGTTATTTCAGACCACGTGCATCTGGAAAGGTCAAGAAAAGAGGAACTTGCAGTGGCATTTACTGGAAAGAGGGGAGGGGTCTTATGGGCGCCCTTAGCACCCACGCCGACGCACTTATCGGACGGCTCTCTGAGTAGCGCGACGGACCTCCATAAGGCAACGAAGGGTATCTTGAGAATCGCTTAATGACACTATTGAAGTTCTTCGGAAGTAGCAGCCAGTAAGGGCCTTTTAATTAGTGGGAAGCAATGCTGCGAGTGATATGGAGCTCGGTTAAGTTAATCAAGTGACATCTCCCAAGCGGAATTCACACCTCCCTTCTTCACTCTGTACATTTCTTGCACTCATAGAAGCGCGCAGTAAAGGTATTTCACTCTAGTGTTTCCTGCATGTGCTCCTACGGGATGAGAAGATGTTCTTATAAGGCGCTTCATGACCTTGGAAGACCCACTTGCAAGAAACTCAACTCACTTTTCGGCTCTATCGACAGCTTCCAGTAGAGAACGACCAAAATCGATGCAGCCTCCTTTGTTAAATGTTAGACGCCAAGGGATTTCACCACTCAACTGCGAGCCAGCCATCGCTACAGCAATTCCTCTCAAGTAGTTTGCACCTAAACTTTCATTAGTAGTAAAAAATGAAGAGCATTGGCCTATAGCCTCTCTAATGAACCTGGACATGCACCATTGACAAACGTACCAAAGATGGGTTGTTCCAAATGTACATCTTGCATGGAAGAGAAAGGCATCTCAAATGATTTGAAATATTTGCCATTCTCGGGCATGAAAATCACACGATGTGAAGTCAAATAAACCGAGCCATTGTGTTTTCCATGTAGATTCTAAATCGCTTGTTAAAGTTTCCATTAAAAATAATATCAATCTGTTACCTCATTGGGGTTTTTCTCAAAAGACATCACAACACCTTGTCCAAATACCAGTATGACTTCTCCATTAAAAATCAAAACTCCTTGTCCATCAGGAGTATTGGCTGTATTAACCGACATTTTCTAAAATAAACCCTCACACTGACACCATTCATGGACCCTCCAGCGAACGTGCGTCCAAGTGTTCCAGGTATTGCGATATACGCTTTCTGACAATATCATCTACGAAAAAAATGTACATATATTTAATTCAAAATGTAAATCTAAAGCAACGAAGAAGTTCTTGACGCGGCTTTTGCTAAGCCTATTATAACACGAACAAGCAAATAATGTATAGCACCAGAACTAGTAATCTACCCTAGCTAATAAATACAACTGGAAGTCATGGGTGGCGAGCGCAAAAAATACACCGTGATATTAGAAGAGCGAGCAAGAATGTCTACTTTTCCCGCTGAAGTTGCACCATGAACTCTTCCAGCTTCTCCTGTATCCGACGAACTTGTTCTAAAAGCGAGAGCTATCATGATCACAAAAATGTATGGAATCTTACATAAACCAAGCCTTACTGAGTTCCTCGGCAAGATCTACTCTTCGCCCAGTAAGATACTTTTGCTTCATCTCTGCATCCTGTGACCATTCATCTAACACATCCTGGAAGAAAGAAATAAAGTGGACTCCAGAAAAATAAGCGAAAAAACTCATAACGTCCATTGATCGGTTCTAAGATGCCACGCGGAAATGCTGATCCTGACATGTTAGTAATGTTACTATATGTACATTTTGTATGGAATGCGGTCCCCCAAGACCATCCCTGACAATTCGTTGTGAGGTGCGTTCATACCGTGCGACGAGTCGTCAACGTCGACGTAACGACGATTTCGACGACTAGTTCGCGAAGAATATATATGTATCGATCCGACGTAACGGACGAAACCGACGAAAGCGACGTTTCGACGAAAGCGACGACTAGTTCCCGAAGATTGTATACGTATCGATCCGACGTAACGGACGAAACCGACGATTTCGACGAAAGCGACGAAAGCGGCGAAAGCGACGAAAGTGGCGAAAGCGACGAAAGCGGCGAAAGTGGCGAAACCGACGACTACTTCGCGAACATTAGATACGTATCGATTATCGAAAACGACGAAACTGACGATTTCGGCGACTGTGCCAAGAATTAGCTTTTCGTAGATGGTTTTTCCCCCACAACTTTTTTCACATCTTATTTATTTCCTTTTCTGTTTGTAAACATTTTCCCTATCTCCTTCCATCCTCTTGAGTGACCTTACAACCTATCTTCTTCATTTTCGAGAGAAATACCATGACATCGATTCCACGTGGCTTACGTGGAATCGATGTGGTTCCCAGTATATATAGGTTGGAAGGAAAGTCCTGTCAGTGTTTTTTGAAAAGCTTACAGTTTTTGATTCTCGATGCTCGTACATAACATAACATGCTTGTAGGACACTCTGGGAGCTTTCCTGCAAGAGGCGTGTGAGGGCGCCTGGTCTTCCCTGGGTTTATTACGATGTCACTTTCACAGAAGTATCTTCAAGTCATCATCTTCTATCAGTGGCCCCGCCATCCACCATCCTCGAAGAAGACAAGGGGATCAAGAGGCTACCACGCGCAGTTTTGCGACAAGACTCAGTGTACCTAACTGACAGTCCACCGCCTGTAAGCCTTTGACTACCAAGAAGTACTGGTCTGATGGATCATTCATACCTCGGCCGATGGCACGCTGTGCACCCGGGCAAAATTTTTGATGATTTTCTCGATTACTATACACTATATATACTGGGAACCACATCGATTCCACGTAAGCCACGTGGAATCGATGTCATGGTATTTCTCTCGAAAATGAAGAAGATAGGTTGTAAGGTCACTCAAGAGGATGGAAGGAGATAGGGAAAATGTTTACAAACAGAAAAGGAAATAATTAAAAAAAGTGAAAAAATTGTGGGGGGAAAAACCATCTACGAAAAGCGAAATCGTCAGTTTCGTCGTTTTCGATAATCGATACGTATCTAATGTTCGCGAAGTAGTCGCCGCTTTCGCCACTTTCGCCGCTTTCGTCGCTTTCGCCACTTTCGTCGCTTTCGTCACTTTCGTCGAAATCGTCGCTTTCGTCGGTTTCGTTCGTCGAATCGATAGGTATGTAATCTTCGTGAAGTAGTCGTCGCTTTCGTCGTCGTCGGTTTCGTCCGTTACGTCGGATCGATACGTATACAATCTTCGGGAACTAGTCGTCGGTTTCGCCTCTTTCGTCGAAATCGTCGACGTTGACGACGCCGTCGCACGGTATGAACGCAGCCTGATGGATAGACATGATTGGTGGGCGACACAAAATGATGACAAGTGATAAATGCTGATAACGGTGTTATGAATGAATTGCCTCCAAAATCCTCACAACCATCGTGTTAACAGTAAACTGCTTTCTCGCAAACGTATTACAAAGTGGCGCGATAAATCAACAAGAGGAACGAGGTTAGTACCCCTAGCAGGAAAAATACTGTCCCACTGACACTTTACGACTCCTTTTCCAACAAGATGCGCCCAACAAGGCGCAACAACCGGTCCCCTACACCCACCGGAATTACCCGCCCATCATGCCCGTCTTATCCGCAATTGATCACAATCGAAGCAGCTGTTTCTACCAAAAACCTGAGGCTAAACGATGAATTTTTAACTCGCCACCACTTCTCTGAAGTGTTTAGTTCTCAATAGTGGTGAAAGAATTTTCTTGGCATACTGCAATTTTCTAATACGTCACATCCTTTTTGAAGTTTTAGACCTCTTTTATGACTTTCCGGTCGATTTTAGTTTCCGCGGATCTGACACCGCTTGAATGATTATGTCATTAGTATGCTCCAGTTCTCATTGAGAGTACTTTTTGATGTTGTTCTAAGGTTTGCTGTTACTTGTGAAGCCTTATCACTGAGTGAGAACACAACAGAGATGATGACTGATGATAGCAGGTGACGAAGGTGATGAGACCGGTAGAAGCTATTAAACGGTTTCGCAAAGTGTCAAGAAGTTGGCCACCCGCTTGTTCGTGGTAGTACAACTTTCAGACTGCGTAAGTATAAAAATGATAGGGGTGAGTGTTGCAAGGCGAACGGTAGTTGCATCAACCGATGACTGAGCGATGATTAATGACAACATTTGCTACAGCTCTGATAACTAGCTTACTTGTTCAAGTAAACTATTAGGTTGTCGCATAAGTTCTTATACACGTGTTTGATCCTCTCCTATTTCGTTCGCATGGATGTTGGTATTACGTCATCACGTGTGCGTGACGTGTACATTATACTCTTTCATTACACTAGCTATCACTCACCGAGCTTGCATTTGCAGTACACAATGTCGCACAATTTGCACTGTGACAAAATGTACCTGCGCCACTGCCTGGTTTTGCTTAACGATTCACAAAAGAAGCTTCACTTTCTCAACTCGATGATCACTGGAGATGAGAAGTGGGTCCTCTACGATAACCCTGTGAGGGAAGCAGGAGTGGGTCGACAAAGGAGAACAGCCAGAAGCCACCTCAAAGGCCGACCTTCACACCAAAATGGTTCCCCTGTTCTGTTGGTGGTCCAGAAGAGGCATGGAGTACTGGGAGCTGCTGGAGAAGGGACAGACGATTGACGCTTCCACATACGTGACCCAGCTGCGGAAATTGAAAGATCACGTCGACCGTACTCGTGGATCACGTCGACCGTACTCGTGGAAGGATGCGGAAATCTACTTCCACCATGACAACGCCCGACCTCACACTGCAAAGGCGACCCAGGCCGAGCTGCGGCGGGAAGGTGCTGGTAATGGCTGGATGTTCGGCCCCCGCCCCAAGCCTCTGACCTCGCCTCTTCTGCAGTTACTGGCTGTTCAGCCACCCTGTCAGCGCTTCTCCCTGAGATTGGAAAAAAAGTTCGAAAGAAACAAAAGATCAGGTCAGACGAAAAGGCATTCGACGAATATAACTCCTTTTGCTCTCTTAGTTCAGTTGTGTTTAACAGAGGTCTCCTCAGCGTTATCAGTACCGCGCTGGTTGATAATAATATTTTTAAATAAGTACGGTAATAATGGACGAGATAAAGGGATACTCATTGGTAGAAGGTTTGTAGATATTAAGGTGGCCTGGATTTGACTCATGAGGAAATATTAATTCACAGAATATCTTCGCCTTAAGAAATGAATAAATCGAGGAGAGGATAAAAAAAGATATCACGTACAACTACGGTGTTACTCTCCCTAGTCACATAACGTGCTCAAAGAGCTCGGAAAATTGTGTTGGCAGAACGATTTGAAGGAGATGGTCAAGCTAAGAAGAACGAATACATGGAATTGGCCTTGCTGATAACGTCGCCGCCAAGCTCGTGACTATCTGAACCGTCGCGAGTAGGAACTAACGGAGAGACAAGTAGCATAAAGGTAATAGAATGGGGACATAATTATATGATCAGGAGATAAGAGAGTCCCTTCAGGCTGAAATGACCTCTGCTTTCTGTCGATCACAATTCGGGAGAACAGTCCAGTGTCAAGGTATTACGAGGAGACTGTGAAGGTTGGAGACTTAGAAAACTTGGGGTAATAATCCGATAGTTGGCTAAGAAAGAGGCATATTCGTAATAATACATAGTTGGAGTCTCTATCTTCGCAAAAGGATAAGGAGTTATTGTACAGAGACCAGTCAACTGTTGCGGAAATCAGCATTAAGGGTTCTATTATATTAGTTAGGAAACAGAATGGAGATTTTAAGGTAACGACAGTTGTATTGGATATGTATAACTTATTTATTAAGAACGTTAACTAAGAAGTATAGATCTACCGAACTAGCCATACTATTACGATGCCAATATTATTACTGGAATGGACTGCCCATTAAAAAACTGCTGACGTCACTAATTAAAGAACTTTGAGGTATGTGTTGTAAAAACAACTTGTATGACTAAATTTCCTGTGAGTAATTAATTCAGAAAGAAGGGAGCACCTTATGGGGATCCTTACGTCTAGAAAGTATAGTATCTTCGGAAAGCCAAAATATGGTTTTGGCGTACTACCCTAAAATACTGAGGTGGGAGTGAAAGGAACTTACAGTCAGCGGTCTTAAACCGTAGTATTCAGGAGAATTCAAGTGCACGTAAGCGTCAAGCTGAAGAAATAGAATCCAACCAACCTAAATTTTCAAGAAAGGAATGTGCCATAGAAAGCGATATGCATCAAGAGAGATGAGATCCAGATTTCAGAGAACAGTTATTAATAATATTGTTTTGAGTCCAATAAATGTTGTGAATGAGATGTGTAAACAGTTACAAGAGATTAAAAGAATAAAGAAAAGGAGAAATGAAGCGTCACCGACGCCGTAGTGGACCACCGGTCCAAAAAATATCACCACTGGTGACAAAGAGGCAATAGCGTCTAAAGGTAGAGAATAGTTAGTCCCGAATGACGGAACTGGTGTTCCATTGACCTCGGGTTGCCCTCGTAAAGCCAATGGACACCAGCACTGTCCAATAGTAAAGAAAGAGAATAAGTAGGAGAAGGGATAGTAAAAATAAAAGTGATTCGTTTCGCCTCCATTTCAGACGAATCACTGTCTTACGTCATCCCCCGAGGCTCTTCAGTAAGGGGGGGGGGATGACGATAGAAAGGAATATGTAATATGTGGTGCAGTGGTTATTAGTGGTTTGATGGATAGGAATAAAAGGGAATAAAGTGTTATTGAAACTGTAGAAATGATACTCAGAGAACCTTTACGTACG